TTCGCCGGCGTAAATCTCGCCAAGTAGACTTTATTGGCGAAAACACACAGTATACACATAAAACGTGTTGACAAATTTTAGTTCTAAGAATTTTTTATTTTGAAGGTATAAATATTTTAATGTCGTTTAAAATTTTGTAAAAAAGGCAATAAATTTGTAAAAAGAGATTAATTTAAGAATTTACTGTGCTTTTATCGTACAGCATCCTGATTCGCCAGTTCGTATCATGTGACCCCAAGTGATATCATCTCACGTCAACTACGATACAAAAATCTAATTCTCTCAGTAATTATCTACATTAATTTCAAGTTAAGTCTTAATTTGGAATACAAGTTTAAATGCAAGAATTATTTCAATTCGTACGAATAGCTTACTCAGAGATTAAAACCGCGGTGCTTTATTTCCCTAGTGCATTCTCATTAGAATTGATGAATTTAAACCTTGACTTAGCCTTTTCTACATTTTCGCCATCGGGTGAGCGGTGTGATAGCATCCTAATTGACTTAATTACCACCCGCGAATGGCCTTAGGGCATAAAATTGAACTATCTCGTAAAACTTCTATGTAATTGTATGCCAGTATTGAAAGAAACACTCAATCTGATAAGAAATGGCTGCAACTTGTTTTGAAAATGTAAAAGTTAAAGTAAAAGGTTACCAGCGAGGATATTTCGCTTGACATCGGTTGTACCATTACTGGCGACTTTATCGGTTGCGCCGGCAAAAAAGAAAAATACCAACCTGAGTAACTACTGATTAGGATCTGTACCTAGGTAGTCTCGGCCACGGGTGTTTAAAATCAGTCTCCTCAGGACTGGAGTCAGTCCTGGCAATGGCTGTTTTAGGCTCGGCAGGAAAACAGAAAAAGTGAAAGTAAAAATAAAAGTAGAAAATAACTATTATAAGAACAATTGCGTAAAAAACTTCCTTAAAAACACTCGGAAAGTTACTGTTTACCTTACTTAATGTAATATACTTAAAACTCAATATTTTACCTTACTTCTGAAAAAGTGAGTATATCTTAAACCATTGCTTGAAAAATATATGAATTATTAGAACAATACCAAATAATTCAAAGAGTTCGGGGTACTCTTTTATTTATTAAAGCAAATAAATCAAATTTAAAGTATGTATTTAAGACGTAATGAAAATAACGAAACATTTTCCTTCGGTTTTCCGTATAGCTAAAAATCGGAAAATGGCCAATTTTTAATTTCAGAATAGCTTCTATATTTTTACTTCACTTAAAATCTCAGATAGGTATATTTTAAATTCAGTAGTACTCCGTAAATATGTCAATACTTTCTTCTCGAAAGATAATAATTTTTAGTTTAATAAACAAATGGTTCATATAAAAAGAAAAAAAAAAATTCGAGTAATTATTCTCAAATCGTCGTTTTTCTGAATTAAAAAGCTAACCTAAGCTTAACATAATATGTAACTGCACTTACCTTTTTTTAATGTGGTATAACAATAACAACAAGCAATCATAAAAAAAAGATAAATGTTGCACAAATTACTACGATTGCAACAGTAGAGACAAAATAAGGACTTAAACAATTTATCAAACGCGTTTACTGCGCCTCCTGTACTTTATACGCATCGGCATCACGTATTTTCGTTCACAGAATATTTACAAGATCAACTGAACTTGTGTCAAAAACTGCAAAAAGCATTAAGTGATAAAAATCAAAGCGATATAAATATAGCGATATACAATCTTAGCATGAACTGAAGTTTTTGCGAACTTTTGGAAAAACTGGAGAATCGCCGGTTGAAACACTAATCTATATCGTTGTCAACACCATAGCGGTGTGCAGAAAAGAATTTTGGATAATATCCCTAGATATCAGCCCTAGAGCATTTTTTGTGCCCAATATATTTGGTATCCAATGCGTTTAGTATATTATTTCGCTTCGCTTGCAGTGTTACCTTTTTATAACATGTTGTTGTTGTTGACTAATGCTCACTTGTCTATCCTAAACTCAGCCCAAGCCCACGATATTTCTCGTGGCAAGGAGCACAAGATACGGCTGTCGTTGGCAACAGCCTTGAGCACCTTACAGGTGACAGCGCGATTTAGCTCAGTTTTGCCCCTAATTTTGATTGAGAGCGTCCTGGGGGGAACAGGTCCGAGCGTCACTCTTCCTTCTTCTTCTCCACCAACCTTTCGAGAGGACTTCCCCCTCGCATACTTGGAGCGTCCCCATGCCGCACGCACACTATACATTTACTAGCATCCATGTCATCTCCGGGATTCGAACCCGAGCTCTTCGGCACGGTAGTATACCGGTTGGGTGGTAAATAAATGTATGTATAATTCTTCAATAACTATGTTTGAGTGTGGTTTTTAACAAAGCACAAAATGTTTGCATATTTAGACAAAAGATAAAATGTAATTGTTTTGGTTTTCCATATTATTATGTTAATAATGCTTCATTTTGAGTGTTAACCATAAGCAATGTTCCTTTAATATCGTCACTATATAAAGGCACTCGCTAGACATTTGCACGACGGCGCCGATTACGCTTGGCGCGGGCCTGCCTATGTATTTTCCGATTGCTAGGGTGTAGTGTGATCTATTTGTTACGCATGAAGAGGAGTGTGTTATAAGTTTGGGGAGAAGGTATTGCCCTTTCCTTTCAGAAAAGAAAAATAAATAAAAGATCAAGCAGAAATGTTTTATTCTTTTAGCCTCTTTTTCTAAAGATAGCTGTGTCTTTTTATTTTGTACCATTATTATCAGAAATTAATATTAATTATCAGAAAGGCATCACATGCTTTCAAAAGTTTCATAATTTCTAAAGCTGTGTGAATATGTATGTGAGTAATAACATATATTTTAGATAACTTCTACATACTATTTTTGTCGAAGATAGAAGATAGAATTTTACATTTTTAGCATTTACTTAGTATATTTATACATTTAGAATAACATCATATGAAATTTCCTCCTGAAATACGATCAGAATAAATAGCATTATTTGTACTATATTTTTAAATTATAGAGTTAATTTTCAGAAATTATATTTTTATTCATATTTGACAAAAAAAGCATAACCAATTATACTTATATGTATTATTTTGCTGTAAATTAATGCTAAAAAGTTTCCAGATTTTATACTCTACATGGGCAGTGGTTTCACTCCTAAACCACCCTCCACCTCCCTTCCAAGGTATGCAACATTTTTTTTTTTCGATACATTTCACATTTAAGAAGCTCAAAGGTACTACTTATTAATTAATTTCATTAAAGTTCTGAAAAACTTTCAATGTGCCCCTCAAAGGGTGCTTTTAAAACTGCCGTTTGGGAACAGTATTATTTCGTATTTATTGTCTATTTGGTGATAATTCCTTTACAGTCCTACAATACACAAGGTATTACTTTTAAAATAGGGAGGCAGCCTTTCGATTTAACTATAGGAGGTTCTTTTGACTCACCCCCATGATATTTTTCTTGTAACATTTTTGCATAGTAGCCATTTCTCATCTCCAGTAATGAGTAATTTAGAAAAATGAGCTTCTTTATTTTTTCTCAGCAAAGAAACACATTTCAAAACTCAAGCAAGCGTATTCTGCTCTGTTAAATTATAAAGAACTCACGCATCGTAGTAGATCACATATCCATTCTTCTTCAAATGAACATGAACTGTACCTTTTTGGATATTTAGTCTATCGGATAATTCCAGAATTGTATAACGTTAATTTTAGGTGATAGCTTATTGTAACAGGTCCTTGTTTATACGGACGGTCGTCCAAAGTGAGCAACTTCTCACATCACTTTCGAATTTTGTCATCAGAAATGGCATTTTGTTCATATATGATGCATATGCTACGAGCAGTCTGATTAGCATATTTTTTTTTCTTAAAATAAAAGAGCATAATATGGGGAAAATGAACTTTTTTGCTCTCCATTCTTAACACTTTACCGACCGCTAGCGGTTCAACAGCATAAGCACGTCCGACCGGCCGTTCAGCCGCATATTCTTCATGTTTTAAATAACTGTCGAGACAATCTGATAAGTCGTCTAAATAAAACTCGCCAGTACCATTTTTTTCGTTCATCGTGAACGGTATTTTTTTAAAAAAACGGTGTGAAAATGTGGGAGTTTACGAAGCAACGCGCTTAACGCAAGTGAGCAATGTACCTCAATACTAATAATAAAATACAGATGATATAGCAAATGGCAATTGTTTATCGCCATGGCTACCGATTGATAGGCTATTTTTAGGTAGCCCCGAGAAAAAAGCGATTAATAGGCTATCGGTCGATAGGCGTTGGCGAAAAAAGGCCGATTAATAGGCTATCGGTCGGCAGGCGTTGCCTAAAAAAAGCCGATTAATAGGCGATCGGTCGGTAGACGTTGGTGATGAAAAGCTGATTAATAGGCTACCGGTCGGTAATGTGTTAACACTGCGCTAAAACGAAAATCATGCCACACATACGCTAGAATTATACAACGTTGAGCAGAAAAGACCGTATTTACACATCCATTTCGATCAAAATCATTCCTTCTCAAAGATAACAAAATAATCAGAAGACAAAGGTGTTATATTTGAACTACTGCCCAGAACTCTCCGGATGACTCAATATTTCGTATAATTAACCATAATAAACAAAATAATGCAAGAATTTTATATTTATCACATCAGATAAGCTATTTTAAAAAGTAAGCAGTTAAGGAAGTTTTTTTTTTTTTTTTTTTTTTTGGATATATTATATATATATATATATATATATATATATATATATATATATATATATATATATATATATAATAAATGAAATAGAATTGTAAAGCCAATAGTAATGAGACGTAAGACCTAATATATATATAAGATTGCTTTGGTGTTTATATTAACCGATCTATTAAGAAAATGAAACCGTATAAATATAATAATTTAGTTATTAATTTACAGAGTTGTAAATATGTTTATGTGTATATATATTGACTTTATTGTACTTAATTCTATTTTGAAGTATACTTTTTTTTTATACAGACAGACGCAAGCAGAAGAATTTGATGAAGAGAAGTATAATGATACATCAAAAGAATTTTTCAACTGCTTCTACCAAATCTGAAATTATAAAAGTTGTTTCATAGTAAATCACATTTCAGGAATAAAATAAAAACGAAGCTGATACAAGTACAAATTTCCATTTTTACAAAACTGGATATGTTTTTTATCTAAGAGAATTCATGCCTTCTCTCTATTTTCTTTTATCCTGTTATATAATATCTGAAACCTGCTCATTTTTACAAAATTAAGATGTTTGAAGTTTTTCCCTTGAAAACAGTTCAAGTTTTCATCCTCTGAATGCAACTAAATGATATGTACACGATAATGTCGAATATACTGCTCCTTTCTGCTTTTTCAACAAACTCGCACTCCTACCTGCGAATAAATAAGCTAACACGAATGGTAATTAGTCATGATATTAATCAGAAAAAATTAGATAAAATGGTAAATTTAGAACAAGCTTAGATGAAGGTTTAATTCTGAGAAAACAGTAAAATAATTAAACAACATTTAATTCGTGTTTATTTTACATCAACAGCGCATAAAGCTTTTCGTGGGAAGAAAATAAAGCAATATTTGTAAAGAATATTTTAAGACAAATATTTTGACTCATTAAAATGCCTGGATTGATGAAAACTACATTTTTCATGACAGTGTTTTTGGTTTTTTCCAGTTTATATTTTTTACATACATTTTATCAGCAAACTACTGTACCTCTGAAGATACTGAAGGTTAAAGTCGCCTATTCAGTTCTCAATGAAACGAATGAAGGTTTCCTTGTGTATACACCAGGTTGTCGAATTCCGAAATTTGATCCCTATGATTTTACCGTAAGACGATTTTATGTTAAAACTCCATACGTATACGACTGTGGACCAAAGAAATCAGTATTCAAGGTTAAGAGAAATGGTATTGTTTCCGTTGATGAAGATATGTTCTACAAACAATACAAGGTAATGAAAAATCAGACAGATTGTTACTTTTACCCGATTTTAAGGAAAAACAAAGTTCGTAAGCCTGACGACACATTTATGCTGGGTAAAGAACATGATATGATCTTCGATCTGCCAATTGAAGACGATTTCATAATTTTGAAATGCAAAACAGGAAATAAAACTTTAGTTTCCACAGCTTTGCTTTTAACGCCAATTAAACCCAAAGTTGAACAAAGATGTGAAAGCGCAATAAAAAGTGCAAGTACCTCTGAAGAGAAATTGAGCGTTATTATAATAGGCATAGATTCCATATCAAAACTAAACTTCATAAGGTACTTTCGTAACTCCTTAAAATTTTTACGGAATAATCTGTTTGCGATTGAACTGAACGGCTTCACTAAGGTAGCAGATAATACATATCCCAACTTAATTCCATTTTTAACAGGACGCCACAGGAATCATTACAAACCTAAAGAAAGAAAATATGCATTTTTTGATGATGTCGATTTTGTGTGGAAACGATATTCTGCGGCTGGTTATAGGACATTATTTTCTGAGGACGCTCCCACTATGGGAGCTTTTGTTCTGAATAGACGAGGATTTAAAAATCCGCCAACTGATTACTATAGTCATCCTTTTTCTGTAGCTGTTGAATTGCTCAATATGAGAAGCAGAACTCACTGCATTGGTTCAGAGCTAGAAATGAAAGTTTATTTCGATTACGTGAGAAATTTCATATCAACATTAGATGGTAAGCCAACTTTCGCTTTTACATTCATTGCAAGATTAACTCACGATATCTTAAAGTATGCTGGATATGCAGATAAGCCATCATATGAATTACTCAAAGATTTAAAAGACTATGGAGCAATAAACCAATCTTTATTAATATTTTTCAGTGATCATGGTATTCGTTTCGGGGACATTCGCAAAACCTATATTGGTAAAATTGAAGAAAGAATGCCATTCATGTTCCTTTCATTCCCTGAATGGTTCTTTAGGAAGTACCCAAAATTTGCAAAGAATCTGGAATTAAATAAAAATCGTCTGACCACCCCGTATGATATACATGCCACTCTTTTACACCTTTTGGATCTTAAAAGAGAATCATTTTTCACTTTACATGGACAAAGTTTATTAACCGAAATACCCGCAGAGAGGACATGTAGTGATGCCATGATTGCTAAACATTGGTGTGCTTGTCAAACTCATAAACTGATAGCAACCAATGATTCAAATGTTCGACAAGCAGCTTTAGCAGTAGTCCGAAAAGTAAATATTCTTCTTAAGCCTTTTTTCAAACTCTGCGTTCCTTTAAAATTAGGAAAAATCCTAGATGCTCGAATTGTAATAACCAACGAGGATCTGCTTCCAGTAACAACAAAAGATTATTTAATAACAATACTCGTGACTCCAAGTGGGGCTGTTTTTGAAGCAACAGTTCAAAGAGAAAAGAAGAATCTATATAAAGTATCAGAAGAAATTAGTCGAATAAATAAATATGGTAATCAATCAGATTGCATACATGAACCCATACTTCGTAAATACTGCTACTGTAAAAGCTTTCTTTTGAGAAGCTGATTATTGTTATATGGCTAATTAAATGCGTTCGTTAATAATGAATTTCTAATCCCATTTTTAAAAATCAGAAAGTTCTCCAGCATCTAAAGAAAGCCAAAATATTATCGTGAACCGTTCAACATTTTTTAAACTGTGAAAAGACATTTACTAATGAGCCCTAATTCTTCTATGATGTGTGCAAGAATTATCAACGAGAACGTACTAGAAAAAAAATACGTATATTGGATATAATTGAATAAGTTTTATTAAACTATAATAAACTAAAAATGTTATAATAAGGTGAAAATCATTTGTCCCTTTGTTTGGATTACCTTGGATTCTCTTACGAATTACATGCCAAGCACACGAGCATTGTCCACTAAATAAGCTTTCCTTTTCAGCTAGATTGGAGAATCTTATTGCCTCATAAAATGTTTGTCATGAATAATAGTTACACTGTTTACATACTTCCGAATGCAACTAATGGATACTGCCATTTGTCCAAACGCTTCATACCTTTTTGAAACCTGCCAAAAGATGCAGTTTATGTTGCAGAAACGGCAGTATTTGACTCCTTCCCCAGTCCTTGAAGCTGACGGAAATCATTCACAACAAATTAAATCTGTAGTATGGACCGATATCATCGATAAGATCCTCAAATCTGCAAGACTTGTGCGTATTCATCAAAGTGAAACAAATATCATTTACGAATAGAGGACGGTAACGAGGTAAGTAATATAAAATCGAAAAGATTGCAATGAAAATTTCCATCTGTATAAGGTTGAATGATAATGAACAGCAAACACCATTCTCACTGTTATAGACAATCAAACAGAAGAACACCATTTGCTTCTCAAATAAGACGACCAACAACAGATTCTCAAAAGATTGAATCATTTTGAAATTTTTGTACACTGTAAAATCATAGTACAGGATTTACATGCTTTGATTTTTGCGTTTTATAAGAACCAATTTTTCGTCGTAAGTAAAAATATAAGTTGGAGAAACCATTATCTTTATTCTGATACTGCATCAATCATTCCAAATTACTGCCTGTTCTTGCTTAAAGATGATCAGTCCTGAGTTGTCATGTGTAATCTCTTTGCAGTAGGTTTACCTGGGATTGCGTGCATTTTTTCTAATCAGTAAAATCCATAACTGCACTACTCGGCAAACTTTAAGTCTTCTGACACTTTATTTACTTTGTCTCTCTTTTCATGAGCATTATTTTTTACTTTTAATCACATACTGGACAGTTGGTTTCGTGGAAGTACACACAGGTCATATTAGCCTGAATGGTCCAGTTGATGGTATTTTATCTAGCTCCGGTCTTACAGCTGTAACCTTGGATCTCACCAGCAATAACACTTGGTTAAACTGAGAAAATCCCATAGAAAATAATTCACTGCTTTTTGGAAACCATTTGCACCATTTGTACTGCCATGGCAAACTAATTATGCACATATTACAGGTTTTGGTAAATTTCAGTGTTGGAAAACCATTTGCTCATTCGTTTCAGCTAAAGCTTTCCTTTCTTCATTGAGTCTCCTCACACTCTTACTGCAGTCTTGTTGGAAAAAGACTTATGCAAATGTGACCCCTCTATTTTTTTCTGGCAAATTTCTTTTCCATTTCAGCTGCAAACATGCATGTACTCATGTCGCATGAAGAACACATAATTATGCACAACTGAAATAAGGAGTTACTTTCGCATTATATCACACAGCTGTGTTAATGTCCTTTGTCTAATAGACTTGGAAAGCTTATTTATCGAATGTACTTTGCTCAGAAGATGCATGGGTAAAATATGTTTTTAATACTTAATAGCAAATGTTTTTAATACTTAATAATACTGTTTTTAATACTGTGTTACTATTTCTGAAAAAGAGAAAATTATTTTTCTAAATCCAAAATATATATGCTAAGGTTAAAGTATTTATAGCTGTTCAATAAATAGTTAAACTTATATAGGATATAACATACAAGATTTCCATTACTTAATCGTCAATTCTGTAACATCTTGCTTTTCCTGTCATTTGTGTAAATCTTACAAAAGAGAGCTACCTCCTATATTTTTATTTTATGTAAAAAAGGATCAAGACGAAAGAATGTTGAGCGAATATTAAATCTTCCTGACGGCCACCTAATCAGATGAAAAAAGATATTCCAATTGATTAAGCAGTTTATGCAATGTATACCGTTTATTAGTACCTGAATGTGTATGGTTCTGAATAAACTGCCATTTGTTCTTATAGCTGTGTCATATGTGCATCATCCTCAAACATAAAATTGCTGAAAACTGATAGTCTTGCATGTAATTTACGTCAGGGAAGAAAATTTAGTTGGAATATCGTAAAACTTGAGAAAGATTTGAAATACGAGAAAAGCTAGCTGTCTTCTCGATGAAAATCGACAGGAAATTTTCAGGAGGGATCAAAATAACAGACTCAAAGGGTGCATTTCGCTACCGCTCACAGCCCCCAAAATAGAACGTATAATTTGCTACGCGTCCCCACAGTATTTGCAGCCGAAGGTCGTCAGCTCACCGACGGCCGAGCGGTAAAACTGCTGAATAATAGTAGTTTGACCCGAATATAAATCTCGATGAATGGCCTAGCTGCATGAGGGTTTCGTGTTTTATCCCTAAGCGTATCATGAAAAGGAGCCAGATTCTTTTAAAACATCCTCTAGGAAAGCATTTCTCCCCTTAAGCAGGTAGCCCTCGCGTATTGCAATCTAAATGCCATAATCTGAATAATCCATCCCAGTCCAGTGCAAGCCATAGATTAACAAACGCAACAGATCCGTAAGGTTTAAGGCATTTCTGTATTCAAGGAGTCCATGTGTGTTAGGCTCTTCTGGAATTTGATGTATACTCGCATACGCAACTTTGTGTTCCATTGTACCACCTGTTTTAAGCATCATGACATCTTGCTGACCTTTATCCAATGTTGACTTGTATTTCTTAGCAATTGCTGCTAAGGATTTTATTATTCATCATTATAAGCAACTGTCGTACAAAGCGCTTGTCAATGTACTTTGAAACCGTGTCCTTTATTGGATATTTCTACATCCCCTCCATTAGTGATATCTATGGCATAATAAAGATTGCATACCAAAATCAGCAAATCGTACAATGTACTTATTATTCTAGAATACTGTCGGTAGAATAGAACTCGCGCTCTGTATCACACCGCTCAATTTATAATCACTGCCGTATGGCATGCATGCCACCAATCAGGAACGTGTCTTATTCACGCAGTGACCTTTGTAACTCACAGACACATTATGTTTTGGCAAATGTTAAAAGCGAAATGCCGCACTTTGCACCTGTTGTTTTGTTCACATGCTTAATCAGCCTGAAAGTTTGGTGGTGATTGTCGTCAGGAAATCTTACAGCTTTGTTTTGAGTAGTCTTCTTTATGATTTAAAAGAAATCTAAGTAAAAAGTTTTAGGTAAATGGTTTTATACCTTAACGTTTTGTTTTACTTAAAATTAATTTTTAATATCATTTAAAGTGCTAACGAAATTAAATATTAAAATAGTTGCCTTCGTTATATGAACGCCCACTCCCCCTTCTAATGAAAATTTTTATTTTCATTTTGCCCAAGTTTTACCTAACTTTTCTTCACTTCTTATAAATTTTAACTGAGTAATCATATCACATCAAAGCTTAAGTTTAACAAAAATGAAAAGTAAAGAATCATGTCCATGGTAAAGTCGGTTTTTTAAAGGAAAAATGAAATACGCTCTAAAAATTTAATTGACTTGTAGCCGGATAAGAAAGTCATGATGACTTTTATCAGCATTTACTTATAAGCTGAATGATTAGGTTGAATAAAAGTGATTACTTGTGTATTTATCATTCGAATAAATATTAAAAAATGGAAAATAATTTTATAAAAATTTTAAAATATAATGTATTTTTTTAAAACAGAAAAATAGTAGCGATGCCCTTAAGTGCTGTAATAAGTATGCTGAAAAATTATTTATGCAAATTAAATCAGTTGTATCTTAACGACTTATGTTTAAATAATAGATATAGGCTAAAGACGGTCGTCAACATCTAGTATTTAAAAATTTCCTTCATTTAATTTTTATTTTCTGCTGTTGCTAGTGTAGCATCGTAATGATCCCGCTCAGTAACTGAATTAAAGGAAGCTTTACTTTCGCTATCGAATCTCTCCAAATAGAGTGGATGGACAATGAAATTGAAATACTGCCAACTAAACAGCGCAGTATTATAATGCAGATCTGGGCAAATACGAACTAATTTATAACTTCTAGTCTTGTTTAAATGAAGGCAGAATTTCGTAGATCTTAGATCATCCTTCATTAATAAAATACGGTAACTTCTGAAAAACTGAAAGATGTTTGGTGAAGAAACTAATAGATGGATAGATCCATTTTCAATAAAATATCGTTGCCGACAAGACTTAGAAGTGCAACGCCCACATAACATGTTTTAAGATTGTACGTGCATTTTTTTACCTTCCCGATATATTTCGTTATACATAAATATATTATACACCATGCCCACGAACGTCCTTACCAGGTATTTATTTTATCAAGCATTAGTCTTTGGCATATACTTCCATACTTTCATACTTATAGGCACATACTTTTGTAAGTGAAGGTTATTATATATTTAGATAATGTTTGTAATCATTATAAATTTAGATATATTTAATAACTAGATTTCTTCACAGTAATATTCACAAGAGTTAATGAATGAATAAATCCTTCATTTCCAAATACATATATAAATAAATTAACGAATATTTACGCTGTCAAAGGAAAATACATGCTTTGGGCAAGGGGTGTGCATAAATAAACATATATGTATAATATTTTTCATTTTCGGCTCGTGCAAGCCTTTAATTTCTGTGGATTCACTACATGTTTCGAGTAAAGTAATTTACAGTAATTAAGCATAGATCAGACTTTTTTACATAAGAAATATGTACAAATATAAATTCAATGAAAATTACATGCACAATTTTTTATACGCAAAGTCATTATCCCCTCAAAATTTCTCCACGAAGGCATCTCTCCCTTTAGGCAGACAGCCCTTCGATGCCTTACCCTATTTGAAAAACGTAACCTCACCTGTGTGCCTAATTACAAATACTTTAATAATTTTTATTTACATTTAGACATTAAGTTTTAAACTTTTGACTTTAAAACACATTCTTGGATACGTTCATTATCAAATTAAAGTTTTTTGATAAATATGTTTTGGCAGAGCTTCTAATACCACTCCTAGCGATTTTACCCAGTGTTATAGTTATCTGATAATATAATAAATAACAACTATCCATTTCACATTTAAACTATAGCCCCACTGTCATCAGATAGCAATCTTGATTGGCTTACGATGCATAATATTGCTTCAATTTTACTACTTAGTTATAAGGAAACTGAGGTTTAAAATGCGTTGTAATTTGCGCTATTTCGACAGTTTTAAAAGTAAATTAAAGTATTTCTCATTCTTTACGCATAACATAAATATTTTGCTAAAATCTATATTTTTGTAGCCCAGTAGCTTAGAATTTTATAAAACAAATTCATAATCAAAATCGCTGTTATTGTACCCTGTGGTTATGTTAAGAGACATCAAATGAAGAGTTTAGCCAAAAAAAGGCAATGATTTGGGGATTTTTATTATGATCTGGAAACTTTTGATAGTGAAATAGAACTTTCATAAAGTTTTTCTTGAAAGCAGAAAGTGAAGATCAGTAACTTGAAGGAGCTAATATAGGCTAATATAGATAGCAAAAAAAAAAAAAAAAAAAAAAAAAAAAAAAAAGAAAGCATGCTCTTCTTATAACCTTATGTCAGCCATTATTAGAAGTATTGATGAATTCTTGTTTAATACCTTGCGCCGGCTAAAAAATTCAGTTTGCTCAACAGTGATTGTTTGAATAGGCTATGTGAATTGAATGTGAACCGGAAACTAGTTTAGGAAAAAAGAATGGAAAGAGATATCAAATTCTAGAATGATTTGGCGTAGACGAGGAAGAAATTATTGTAGTCTAAGTTAAAGCCCAAGTTAACCAAATATATATATCTGAGAAAAACTGTATAGGTTCAATAAGCTGTGTCTGTAAACTGTAGGTGAAAAAAAAATTAAGCCTGAGATGTAAACCTATCTTTTGTTCTTAATGCGAAAAGAATGTAAGAATTGGTGTAACCAATCAAATTAAAGAATGATAAAAAATAAAATAATAAAAAATATAATAATCTATTAATCACTCTTTGTTTAATATTTCAAACAGAACTTTTGAAGGAGTTAGTATTTAAAACACTAAACCGGGATATATACATATATTATGTATGTTCAGTCTCTATTCCTATTCTCCGAGGGTGCAACCATTTGCTTAATTATGTTAGAGTCCATTGCTTAGTTATTCATTTATGACAATGCATATGAGGGCTATTTCATTGAGCGGATGCTTATCTTGGTGGAGGATTTCCTAAAGGAAACCTGAGACTTGTTACGGATGGAGAAAAACCACAAAAGGCACATTTCGCACATTCGCATTCTAGACATTTCGCTGGAATTCAAGATCTTGGGTCGACACAGGGGGAGACAATCGAGTACAAACTTAATATTCTCAATCTAAAGTCGTTTTTTTCTCCTCCCCCCTCTCAGCTTGGATCATGGCTACGTCCATGACGAAAATCGTGAAAGCAAACATATAATTAGAAGAATCAGTTAATAAAAATTATACAACGCTTTCTAGTAGCAATGATTTTGAAAATCTTACATTTCTGCGCACGTCCAAAAACTGCATTTTCTGAAGTTATAAGTACCTGCTACTGTACCCACAGCAGCAGTTAAAAATTAATTAGTATTAATTGCTTAGCATTTATTTAACTGATTTAAGTTTTCAAAATCTTTAAAATGTAAAATTATTAATAAAAACTAATTATGAACTGAGATATAGGCATGAAAATTATTTTTTAAGAATTTCCTATTTTTATTAAGAGTACCTTAAATTTATGATTTAATTTATGCACAACTAAGTAAAATTTTTGAAAAAGAAATGCAGAATTATCAGCGTTGTTTTCCTAATTAACTAATTAAGATATTTGTAATGAATTCTTTAAGAAAAGATTATGTCTAAAGCTATCACTTCGCAATGTTTTTGCGACGTCAGCAAATTGTCAGAATGTTGCCGCAAAAGTTTCACATCTCGGTTACGTAATAAAGACATTGGATAAGCG